CACTTGTAACTTCGGATGTTACCCTGATCTGCCACCTGTGAGGACACAGGAGTTGGGATGGCGTGGGGAGGGGGTACAGAAAGGAGTCCTGCAGGAATTCTGTCCTTCCGCCGGCTTACGGATTAGTAGGGGAGAAGAGTTAGAGAGAGATAAAGCTGTGTGTACTCAAAACATTTAGAACACTGAGCTAATGAGAGAGGTTGGGGCCTAATTGGCATCCTTGTTCTTGAGATAGGCCCATAAGCAAATGCAAAGTTGCATAACAACATCAGGTATTACAAGGTTCTGAACACTGGGGATACAACTTAATAGAAACAGGAATAAATTGCTTGAGGTCAAATTTTTAAATGTTCGAGAAGGTTGCAAAATTTCATTTCAAAGAAGAATTCTGTCCAACAAAGCTATTTTCATATTCTGTTGTAACGCAAACAAAGCCGTATGGGTTGATGGGACAATTATTTCTCAATTCCACTCACCAAACCACATCAAACACCCCACTTTCATTCAAAGAAACTCCCCTTAGCTAAATGCCAAGCTGTCCACCACAAGGAGTATGGACCAGAGTGGAGAAGCCTGAGGTAGGCGGGGCTGGAAGTGGCATGATGTGGGCATGACAATCCCCTCTTTTCTTCCCGTGTTAGAGCCCTTTCGAGTGAAGCTTGCTGAGCCCTCTTCAGAGAGTTGGATGTCAGCTCCATTTAATTTCTGTAGCCTTGGAATGATTAATTTTACTAAAATTAAAGTCTAAGAGAACTATTAGAGGCCTCCAATATTACAGTTGTGTGTGTGTGTGTGTGTGTGTGTGTGTGAGAGAGAGAGAGAGAGAGAGAGAGAGAGAGAGAGTGTTTTAGTGAAACTTGATCTAATGTGTGCTGCATAATCATTTGAAATCTTTGATCTGATACATGAAGGGCTGAACCCAACTGTAGCCAAAGGCAGGGAGTGTACTTGAACTCTCGGAGGTGATAGTAGTTTGTGCAGCCACAGGTCCATCTGCACCCAGGCGGCCCCCTCTCGCTCAGGTGGAGCCTTGCTGCTTGTTGCACAGCCTTGGAGAAGCAGGTCACGCCGCAGGCCGGGTGGCCTCCTGAGAGAGCAGTTACTTCTCTCTCAGGAGGTGTTTCATGTATACTCGTGGGAGAAGAGAAGCATGGGGGTCAGGAACATTTCCCCTTACACAGAGAGCTCGGAACCAGTCACAGCACCAGGTTGGCTTATAGGGATGGACAAATGTTTGCAAATCACTCCTGCTCCCAGCACAGGCTTGCAGTCAGTTAGACTTGAGGATGAATTCTGCTCCAGTATTTGGTTGTTATGTTACTTTGGACAGACCTGTAAACTCTCAGCCTCAGTTTCCCTATCTGAAAAATGGGGACAATAGTAATTCTCTCGCGGTTAGGGAACAGATTGCATGAGATTATTTATGCCAAGGGCTCCAGGCTCTCTCTATTGCTCAGTAATGGTATGGGGTGGGAGGAAGAGGGGAGCAAAAGGGAGAGGAGATGCCGTGATGATAGAGAAACAGGATGAAGGGCCAAGCTTAGGGTTTGTGTCCTCCCGCTTTTCTTCCCCAGGCTTCACCTGGAAGCTGCCGAGCCTCTGAGAGGCTCCACCACTGGCTGCAGACTGTGGACATGCAGCATTGAGATTGGTAGTCGTGTCTTCTGCCTGGGAACCTTCTCTTTCTTTTATTTATTTAAAAATTATATTTATTTTTGAAATTGAGAAAATTATATTTCTTTTTGAAAACCAGTACAATGTGTTCTACAATGACATAGAATGCATTGTACTGGTTTTAGATGTATAACATAAAACATAACTATTTGATATATGTATACATTGCAAAATTATTACCTCAATATATTTAGTTAATATCCATCACCACCACAGTTTTTTCCCCCTCATGATGAGAACTTTAAGATCTACTGTCTTAGCAATGTTCAAATATACAATACAATATTATTAACTACTAGTGGCCAGTGCATGTTTTCGTGCACATTGAAAGGAAAGTAATTAGAAGAGATATTTTAATATCACTATTAGCCCTTTCTCTATAATAGAAGTGTCAACCAAATTCACAATCGACAATGACAGATCAAAACACATGCAATGCAATTGGCACCAATAAGAGCTTTATATGTATCACGCATGAGAAAGTCAACGTTTATTTTTAAACTAGAGTCTGGTGCACGAATTCATGCACAGTGGAATCTGACTGGCCTGCCTCGATTGGGGCCGATCTGGGGTGGGGCCAGCCAGGGGGAGGGACCTTGGGTGGTTGGCCAGCCATCCCCAACCCCTGGTCAAACTCCCGATCGAACTCCCAGTCAAGGGGACAATTTGCATATTAGCCTTTTATTATATAGGATTGCCAGTGCATGTCATATGTACCAGCCGGCCAGTCAGTTGAATGGATGGACAGTAGGTCATTTAGCCTTTTATATATATAGATGGTCACCATGCTGTACATTAAGTGCCTAGGACTTAGATATCTTACAACAGGAAATTTGTGTGTGTGTGTATATATATATATATATATATAAATACAAAGCCATCTTTTTATTTTTATTTTTTTATTTTTAAAATATATTTTATTGATTTCTTACAGAGAGGAAGAAAGAGGGACAGAGAGTTAGAAACATCAATGAGAAAGAATTATCCATCAGCTGCTTCTTGCACACCCCCTACTGGGTATGTGCCCACAACCAAGGTATATGCCTTTAACCGGAATCAAACCTGGGACGTTTCAGTCCACAGACCGATGCTCTATCCACTGAGCCAAACCGGTTTCGGCGGAAATTTGTATATTTTGACCCTTCACCCATTTCATCTGTCTCCTACCTCCTGGCAACCATCAATCTTTTTTTTTTTTTTTAATATATTTTATTGATTTTACACAGAGAGGAATTGAGAGGGACAGAGAGTTAGAAACGTCAATGAGAGAGAAACATCGACCAGCTGCCTCTTGCACACCCCCCACTGGGGATGTGCCCGCAACCAAGGTACATGCCCTTGACCGGAATCGAACCGGGGACCCTTCAGTCTGCAGGCCGACGTTCTATCCACTGAGCCAAACCGGTCCTGGCACAACCATCAATCTTTTCTCTATTTTGTCTTGCTGTTTAGATTCCACATATAAATGAGATTATATAATATTTATCTTCCTCTACAGGATTTACTTCATTTAGCATAATGCCCTCAAAGTCCATCCATATTGTCACAAATGGCAAGATTTTCTTTTTTTTGTTTGTTTGTTTATGGCTGAACAATATATCACATTTTTTTAAAATCCATTCATCTATCGATGAATACTTAGGCTTTTACAGAAGTTTTTCTTTCTAACATGGGTGACCCTCCCTCACCCCAATTTGGAACCCCCTATCTCCTAATTTCTCTACTCCAGCTCTATGCTGCCCCCAAACTTAAGTACTTTTTGCCTCAAAGCTAAGCGAGGTGCTTAGTGTCAGTGTTCCTTCTGCCAGGAGTGTGTTTGCCTATAGAAACCCTGCCTGACCGTCCAGGTTCTGTTCCACCTGCACAGGGAAAGGCCCTTCTGGCAGCTGTGTGGATCTTGTTTGGGAGGAGCCAAGGCAGGAGCAGGGCCAGACTTCAGAGGCAGTAGCAGTCTCATAGAAAGAAGGTGCATGGCTCAGTGGTTGAGCATCAACCTATGAACCAGAAAGTCATAATTCGATTACCAGTTAGGGCATACACTGGGTTGGCAGGCTCGATCCCGAGTAAGGGCCATGCAGGAGACAGCCAATCGGTGATTCTCTCTCATTATTAATGTTTTTATATTCCCTCCCTCTCCTTTTCTCTTTCTGAAATCAATAAAAATCTATTAAAAGGAAGGAAGGAAGGAAGGAAGGAAGGAAGGAAGGAAGGAAGGAAGGAAGGAAGGAAGGAAGGAAGGAAGGAAGGAAGGGGAAAAGAAACTGCATGAAACTTTCTGTTAGGCAAACTTCAGACTTCCTCTTATTTGTCCCCCCTTTTTCCATCCTGGGTTGCTGGAGGCCATACTCCTCCTTCTCTCACTCCCCGTTTTCCTCAGTCCTTCCCTCGTCCATGGGACACTTTTCTGGTCTGAGTGCATTGTAGAGCACATTAAAATTCCTAAAACAACCCAGTTTCCACTGCTGATGTGCCACAGATAATTCATTATTAGGATGTGTGTGGAGTTACAATCACACACAGAAAACAATTTTCTGGGTGATTTATTATAATAGCGACCGAAGGCAGGTTGTTTACCATTTGAAGAAAGAGTCTGGGGAATGGATTAAAACTTTGGGGAAAATTTATGATCAAACCTCAAGGTGCCCTAATTCAGAGTCAGGACAGTCTGCTGCCTAAATCATGACTGATGGTTTCTGGCCACCTAGATTGCACTTCCCCTTGTTCGGCCCATGGTTGGAAATCACCTCTAAGTATCAGCTCCTAGTCAGCACCTACAATGATCTCATCTTTGTCTTGAATCTGATTGGGATGCCATAGGTCGTTAGCAGGTACTCTGATTCCAGCTTTTTCATTAAATAGATTATAATGATTTTACCATAATGGGGGTGGGGTAGGGTGAATAGATTTCAGCTTTGTGCAAAGAACAACGTGCTGGTTATCGGAGCCCTGGGTCTGGTCCCAGCTCCTTCACTAACACACCGCCGAGAGGCCTTGCACCAAGCAATTAACTTCTGAGTCTCAGTTTCCTCATCTGCCAAGTGAGTAGGTTGGGCCAAATGCTTCCTTTGGTGTCAGCCATTCCTAACATTCCCAGGATTGGAATCTAGGGTGCATCCAGGCATCCTTGGAGGGCTATGAGCTCATGGCACCTCCGGGACAAAGGCAAGGATGGTCGTTACTTTCTTTGGTGCTGTATTCCCTCCATACTTACTTTAACTCTAACGAGAATCCCCACTTTTCTATCTTTCTTTCAGAACTGTCCAACACATTTGACAGACTCATCGGATGAAGAGTGCCTAAGAGACTGACGGTCAGCATTTCCTAAGATGGAGAAGACAGATGGTAGGCAGGCTGTTTTGTATCCTTGGTTTAATGTGAGCATTTGAGTTGGAAAGGGATTCTATACATCACATAGATAGCCTATGGGATGTCTGATTGCCTAGGATTGGGCTGAAACTGACAGATAGACATCACTCTCACAATCCAGGACCGCTAGCTCCTAACTGTTCACCTGCCTGCCTGATCAACCTTAACCGCCTCTGCCTGCCAGTCTGATTGCCCCTAATGCCCTCCTAGGCTTGGTTGCCCCTCGTTGCCCCCCTCTTCCAGACTGGTCACCCCTCACTGCCTCCCTGCCATCATGGTCACCCCTAACTATCCCCCCATGCCAGCCTGGTCGCTCCCAACTGCCCCCTGCCAGCCTGGTTGCCCATCACTGCCCCCCTCTGCTGACCTGGTCATCCCTCACTGCCCCCCCCCCTCCGCCCACACCAGCCTTATCACCTCATGCAGCCTGCTGTTCGGTTGTTACTGTGAGGGCATTGTGACCAATTTACATATTACCCTTTTATTAGTATAGATTGATTTTATGGAGAGGGAAGGAGAGAGATAGTTGAGACACTGATGAGAAAGAAACATCAATCAGCTGCCTCCTACACGAACTACACTGGGTATCAAACCCACAACTGAGGTACATGCCCTTGGCTGGAATCAAACCTGGGACCCTTCAGTCCCCAGGCCAACACTCTATCCACTGTGCCAAACCGGTCAGGGCACTGCCCTCATTTGAGAGTTGAGGAACTTGAGGTCTAAGAAAGAGGCCCAATATGGTAAAATTCATATCTTTGAGACTCTCTAAGTCATTTCTCTGAGCTTCATTCTCCTCATTCATCTGATAACTTTGCTGTGTAATCAAAATGTATCAACTTAAAGATATTTATTATTTCTCAAAAAGACTCTGTAGGTTTGGCTGGGCTGTTATTTGTCAGAGCCAGCTTGGCTGAACGTTGCTGGGCCCATGTGTCTGTGGTCTTCTGGGTGACTTGGCCGCATGGTATAGAATGGCCACACTCACTGGCCTGGTGGTTGATATGACTCCCTATAATTTGACAAGTATCTTCCTTTGTCCAGCAGGCTAGCTGGGAATGTGCTTGTTTGGTGGCACAATGGTTCCAAGCACAGTAAGAACAGATTCCAATGAGCAAGTGATTTTCAATCTCTGCAGGTGTCACATTTGCCGTTGACTTATTGGCCAAAGCAAATCACAAAGCCAAGCTCGGAGTTAGTGTAGGAAGGGAGTACCCAAGGCTGGAGTATCATTGTAGCTATTTTTGCAAACAGTTTATCCATAAGCAGGTATTAGTACCTACTCCACAGGGTCGCTAAAGGACTAAATGAGATAATATAAGATTGGTGAGTAATACTATTTAGCACGATGAATATTCCCCGCCTTCCCTTCCAGGAAATTTGCAGAGGGTCATAAACTGGGTCCGATGATTTGATTTCTATTGAAAGGCTTTTTCCAGATCACCAAATGTCAAGAAACAGGAGAGCCTATATTCTCCCTTGAATCACATGGCCCTTCTCTGGTGCAGGACTTAGGGACCAGACAGCAGCTCCAACGCTGCTGCTTCTGTCTTTCCAAATGCAGTCACCATATATTTCAAGAGTCTGTCTTCCTCCCCAGAGAGCGGCCTTCTCAGTGCATCCCTGAAAGTGATCCCACAGAACACCAACTAATTCCCTGAGCGCCCCGGGGGCCTGTCATTTTTACTGCCTCATTTGTCCCCACTCAGCACCCTCGAGAACTGCTGCTCTCCACGCGATTAACCACAGCCAGCTCAAGAAGGGCACCCCTCCCTTCAGACACACACGTCACACAATAAAGGCAGAAGAGGGAAAACATGTCATAGCTGTCTCGGCCTTTTGAAGTGGCTCATCTAATTTCCCTTCTTTCCATCTGTATTTCTGGCCACTTTCTCTCTAGTTTCTGTTTTTCCCATTTCCTTTAGAATCTGAGCATAGTCTTTTGGACGTTCTTTTCTCACTTTCAATGCCTCTGATTGGCTTGCTCACCTGCCAATCTTCTCTCTCTCTCTCTCTCTCTCTCTCTCTCTCTCTCTCTCTCTCTCTCTCTCAATATATTTTATTGATTTTTTACAGAGAGGAAGAGAGAGGGATAGAGCTAGAAACATTGATGAGAGAAAATCATCGACCAGCTGCCTCTTGCACACCCTCCCACTGGGGATGTGCCCGCAATCAAGGTACATGCCCTTGACTGGAATCCAACCTGGGATCTTTCAGTCCACAGGCCGACGCTCTATCCACTGAGCCAAACCCGTTTTGGCCCAATCTTCTCTTTGTCCCACAAGGTCATTACTGTGGCACCTCCCTTCTTTCCTTGTCCCCTTCTAATGCCCTTTCTCATGTCTGTGTGCAACTCCTAGGCTCATGACTGTGTTTGCAGATCCTTCCCAGGGGTCTAGTCATTGGGTGTGCTTTCAGACCAAGACTCTGTAGGCTTTGTAGGTAGCTCTGAGTTTCAAGTGTCTTACTTTTTCTTCTTCCCTGACTCATTTTTCCAGTTTCTTCAGAATTAATTTTTTGGACTATCTTTCCCCCTTGAGGCTGTAGTCCTAACACAGAGATAAATATTCTGAGGAGAGAGCACATTTTTAGCCAATCCTCCCCTGCCTATCCTTGTCTTCTGGCCCCTTTGTGGAGTACCTGTGCCATGTTCTCTACCGAATTACTGCCAGCAATCACAACTCTGTAAGGTAGGCATTAGTGCTGCCATGTTACAAATGGGGAAATTGATGCATAGGAAAATTAAGTAATTTGCTCAGAATTACAGAGATAAGAGATGACAGAGCCAGGATTCAAATGCAGCCAGTTTGGGCTAAACCAACACGTTTATTAGATCTGAAATTCATTTTGAGCAGAGACAGTCCTTCTAATTAATTCTTACCTAGGCCAAATGCCCAGAATTCCGAGCTCCTGCATACCTGTCACCAGGTAGAATTAAGAGGAGCAGAGCTTAATGTGAGCATAGGTTTCCCAGCGTATCAGATCGAGCTCCCTCATTCAAGGTCCGGCATTCCTCTTGCACTGAGAGAAAGACAAAGCACGCAGAATGGCAGGTGGCAGGCACAGCAGCACAACGGACCAAAGTGTGTGTGTGTGTGTGTGTGTGTGTGTGTGTGTGTGTGCCCTAGTGATAGCCCAGAGTGCTAACTTAGGGAAGCACCTATTACAGCTGTCATCCTGGATAGCTGCTCAGTCTTACAGACTCCTTTGGTTCCCCTCCGCCTTCTTTCAGGAAGATTTTGCCTTTGAATCTTCTGTTTCCAATTTGATACTATTATTGTGTTTATGCTCTGGAGCTGCTCCCAGAAGCCACTGGGTAAATTAGTGCATTTCTACTTATTTAAAGCAAAAAAAGAGAAAGAGAGAGAGAGAGAGAAAGAGAGAGAGAGAGAGAGGGAGAGAGAGAAATAATGCAACTTCTTTTCTTTAAGGAGAGTTCTTTGCCTTCTGGGCCATAAATCTGCTCTCCACTTAACTTTAGACAACTATCTCCTCTCTGTAACCCAGGAGTGCTGAGTGCACCAAGAGGCCTAAGGATGTTGCAGAGTGCAGCTGGTAAAGCTAATCGGGAGCAATTGCTCTCATTGACTGAATCTACCAGTGTGCCTCTTCGGAGGAAAGCAGGGTGGTAAACAATTGTGCTGGTAAATGTGAACTTGTTTGGAGCTTTTTGGGCTGGAGTCATGTTTACTCCTTATCTGCCTGGAGTCTAGATGTCTGCCAGAGAAGCTCTGGAATGAAAACCATCCTGGGTATCTGCACGGATGCTTTATTCTGTTCCCTGCTGTGGTTGTGATGTAATTACCCACAGGCCCTGCAGCTCTGCGCAGCATTGAGGCTGATAGGCGTGTCAGTGTTCATGCGTACAGCATTCACGTGTCTACTGGCTTCCTTTAGTTCTGTAGAGATAACTGTACTTCCCCAAGCACGGAGGGCCACCTGACAAGCACGTGGCCCCTGCCAGAAGGAGAAGTCAGACAGGCAAGTGGGAAGAGCTCAGCCTTACAAAGTGTTCAGCATTTTGGAGAAAGGGGCTGTGTGTAGATGATTAAAGAGGAGTCCAAAGATGAAAGATAATTTTGAAAGGCATTGAGGGGAGTGGGGATCAGAGGATCTCCAGTTAAAGGAGCTAAAGACTCCCTTGTCTAGGACCCCACAATTTGTCCTAAGGCAGGTGGACAAAGGGTAGGGTAACAGAAGCATTGTCAGTTTGGGGAATAGCCTACAGCTGTTCAGGTGTTTGGCCTATAGGAGGCAATAAAATGCCCTGAGCTGTCTGGCAGTTAACAATTCTATTCAGGCCGAAGCCAGTTTGGCTCAGTGGTAGAGCGTCGGTCTGCAGACTGAAGGGTCCCAGGTTCGATTCCGGTCAAGGGCATGTACCTTGGTTGCGGGCACATCCCCGGTAGAGGGTGTGCAAGAAGCAGCTGGTCAATGTTTCTCTCTCATCGATGTTTCTAGCTCTCTATCTCTCTCCCTTTCTCTCTGTTAAAAACCAATAAAATATATTTTTTTTTTTTTAAAACACAATCCTATTCAGGTTTGGAGGAAGTGCTGTTTAGTTTACAGGTAAACTACATATGTGGCTCACCCTTGTTGAGCCTCCCAAGTCCCATCATGGAACTCTTGTAATTATTATATGCTGGAAATATAGACCAGGTTCTAGAATACATATTCTTGGCCTCTGTGCTCTCCACGAATGTCCTGTCCTGAACTCAGCATTTCAGAGCATGTTTAGCAGAATATCACAGAGATAATAAAGGGTGTCATGTGAGCAACATCAAAAGGACAAAGGGTGTTTCACCTGAAGAAGGAGCTACTTGGGAACAAGCCCCTATACTTGAAAGACTGGCTTGTTCTCAGTGACTTCTGTTGGAGTCAAGAAAATGAGCGATGGTCCAGCCAGTGTGGCTCAGTTGGTTGAGTATCATCCCATGCACCAAGAGGTCACCTGTTTGATTCCTGGGTAGGGCACATGCCCGGATTGCAGGCTTGACCCTTAGGAGAGGATGTGCAGGAAGCAGTGGATGGATGCTTCTCTCTCACCGAGGTTTCTCTCTCTCTCCCTCTCCCTCCCTCTCTCTCTCAAAATATAAACAAATCAGTGTTGCCTTGGTGTGATGGAGAACTGTCTGATGTCTCATGAGAGTTTGGGCTACCCTGAAAAGTCACAAGTTCCCCATCTCTTGGAGGATGTATGCCAATGTCCCTTTTGACATCATATGTCCCTTTTCCCTCAACCCTGTTTTCTAGTTTGTGAAAAAAAAAAAAAATGTGGCATTCCTTAGTTGGCATGAATTTTTGAAAGTGAAGTTCATCTCCGTTAAGCACTAAGAAGTTTTCAGATGAAAAGGAGTATGGGCTGTGCATGATTACGTGTTCCCGAGATCTCTGATCTTCACCTAGAGGCTCGGGCGTCTGAGGAGGGTTAAATAACGTAGAAGGCTGACTTTGATGTCTCTGCTTTTATCAAGGTTTACTCGTACCTACCTGAATAATGCAAGGTTCTTTAATGTTGAGACAATTGAAACTTTGAAACTTTCCATATTCATAATTTCCAATTAGCACCTTGATATGGCAAATTCCTGGCCACTTTACTTCAGCAATTACATGACTCAAACCCAGTAAAACAGCGGGAGACCATTTTTATTTTGTCGGTCTGCAGGCAGATTCCACCGTAGTAACTGAGTTGACCTACTGCAAATTGGAAACTATTTTCTTACGCATTTCCTTGCAGACTTTGCCTAAGTACACATTGATTTAATGACATGGATTCTTAGCGCAGCCAAAAGACTGTGAGCATTGCAGTATCATTTAGAGGCTGGAACATGCAGGAGAAAGTCAACATCATAGATAGCAGCCCTCACCACCTGTGATTCTGATTAACGTTGTGCTTCCTCTTTTACTTGCCTTTTGTCTTCCAGCCAAAACCCAGTCCTCTCAGGGGGACGAAGAGAAAGGCCCTCCCAAGAGCCTCCCCTACTCCGTGGAGACCCCGTATGGCTTTCATTTAGACCTGGACTTCCTCAAGTATGTAGATGACATTGAGAAGGGAAACACCATCAAGAGGATTCCTATCCACAGACGGGCCAAGCAGGCCAAGTTCAGCACGTTGCCCCGAAACTTCAGCCTTCCCGACAGCGGGGCTCGCTCGCAGACTGCTCTTTCCCACCAAACCTGGTCCCCAGCGCTGGCCAGGAAGGTGTCGCTGGGGACCGAAGAGCGAGCCCAGTCTCTGCCGCCTGGGGAGCACCTCCAAGCCTCCCAAGCGGGTGGCAGTGAGGGGAGCTACCACAGGAAGGTCCTGCTGGCCGAGGCCGCCAGGCAGCTGGAGGCCACTGTTTCCCGGGACCCCGAGCTGCCCTCCGGGAGCGGACGGCCCCAGCTTTTGAGAGCATCGAGCATGCCGGCCACCCTGCTGCAGAACAGAGCCTCGGAGGACCCCAGCCTGAACGTAGGGCCCCCCACACCTCCTGCCCTTCCTCCCCTTGCAGCCTTTGGCCCCGCGGAAGGATTTGCGGGTGTTCACGACTCCACCCCAAGAGCTGCCACCCAACCCACGGGCAGAGAGTTTGGAGACCTGGTGCCAGGGATTCCGGAGCTGGTCCGGGAGAGGGCGGAGCCTCCTTGGGGTGCAGAAGAGGCCCCTCCGCAGCACCTGTCTCTCCCAAGGCCTCCCTTCTCACCCCCGAATGCGCTTGTAGTTTCAGAGGATGCAAAAGACAACCTTCCCCCCAGAGGAGCGGAGGTGGTGGTCAGCCCTGGCTGCCCGACGCCAAGCCCCCCACCTCTGCCATCTCCCATCCCGGAGACTGAGCTCCCCCTAGAAGAAATCGAGCTCAACATCAGCGAGATCCCGCCCCCGCCTCCCGTGGAGGTGGACGTGAGAAGCGTTGGCATCCGGGTCACGGAGGAGAGCCTGGGCCTTGCCCCCGCGGATTCTGGCAGCGTCTCCAGCCTGAGGCAGCAGCTCCTGGCCCTGGAGGGGGAGTTGTCCGGGAAAACAGAGGAGCTGGCCCAGGTCAGAGCTACCCTCCAGCAACAGGAGGAGGAAATCGAGGCCAAGAGGCAGAGGATTCAAGAGCTGGAGTGCACGGTCGCTCAACTGGCAGAAAAACTGAGCCACGAGAACACCAAAGACACCCAGGGCCAAGTGGATGCCATGGTCAACACCGAGCCTCTCCACGGACTCCTGACCAGGGAGTCGTGTGACAAGAGCATTGGTGTGAACCTTCTGAGCAGCACGGAATCGGAAAGTTGGGGGGCCCGAGGAGAGGAGGATGACCTGTGTGGGCAGGACAGTCATCAACAGGGGAATCAGAGCCCAGCAGAATTTGTGCCACCATCCCAGCTGTCACTGCCGCAGGATCCCGAGATGGTCCTCTCCTCTTCTTTACATAGCTGCCTCTCCACTGAGCTCAGGATCGAAGAAACAAGCTCTGAGCTGGAGGGAGACCCTCTGATCGAGGGAGCAGGAAACTCTTTATGGAGCAGAGACACAAAGGCTCCCTCAGCAGGGAAGGAGGAGGCCAGTTCAGAGCTCCCGGGGAAGGAGGGCCCGGGCAGGCCACCCAGCTCACCCACAGATGCCACTATCGGGCAATACGTTAAGAAGATCCAGGAGCTCCTGCAGGAGCAGTGGAACTGCCTGGAGCATGGGTACCCAGAGCTGGCCAGCGCCATCAAGCAGCCCGCCTCCAAGCTCAGCAGCATCCAGCGCCAGCTCCTGAGCTCCCTCAACCTTTTGCTGTCTGCCTACTCTGCCCAGGCTCCAGCCCAGAAGGAGTCCCCGGCCCCCTCCACTCCTCCACCAAAGGGTAAATACGGGTGCCTGAGACAGGGAACCATGTCTCCTTAATGGGACAAGCCAAAGGGGCTTTAATTGGATGCATATGTTTTTAAAAGATTTAAGCACCTCTAGGAACCTAGTGTAATAAAAACTGACCCATGTAACAGTGGAGGCTCTGTGCCCCTATTTGTGTCCTTGCTCTGAGGTTAGGATTGACTGCAGGATGCACAGCTGTTCAGATATATTATAGTACAGGGCACAGAGATGCCAGCCCGGGGGGCAGGGGGGTATGGGGAGGAGTGGTGTATATAGGAGCTTAAGTCCAGCCCATTCTCCACCTCTTCACTTGCCCAGCCTTCAGCACTGTGTCCACCCAGAGGGGTGCCTATAGCTCATTTGCATGGCACAAAGGCAAGGTCTAGGGTGGACAGTGGCCCAGGTTGTATGTGCTCTAAACCTCAGCCTCCTTTCCTTGTTTCCTGAGATCCTCTCTGGATTCTATACATTAGAGGTTTTCTCTGGCCTAATTTTGCAGGAATGTTATATTGATGTCTGAACATTGTGTGTGTATGTGTGAGAGAGAGAGAGAGAGAGAGAGAGGTTGAGTGACACATGTTGACCTTTTGGCTGAGCGGCATTTCCTCTTGTAACAGACCAAACACTGTTTAATAAAGTGGAACCATATTTTGCTTTGCTCAATGAGCAGCATGCGAGTCTGCTTCCTGCCACAGATTGCAAATTGCCTGCTTTCTCATTATTCCGTGCTAGTTCTAGTCTTGCCCATTAGGAAATGCCTCCTCTGCCTTTGAGCACAGCCAGACTTGTGCTCTTGCTCATGTGTCTCCCATGCCTGTCCCACATCACGGTGTCAACTGGCCGAGGTGGGAGCAGAGGTGGGACCAGGAGTCACGGGAACTACCTTCTGTGCTTAGAACTAATTGACCACCTCTTTCTCTGCCATTTGCTGAGCAAGGCTGAGCCTCAGACTTCCCAGCTGTAAGACATAGACAACAGTGGCACCCTCACCACAGGGCTCCTTCTAAAGAGTGCCCCCCCTGTCAGCCGCACAGAGGGGCTTTGTGACCAGGGACACTTCAACTGGCACTCCCCCAGAAGGCTAGGCCTCCTCCAAGACCCTCAACGTATTTAGTGGACATCATCCAGTTCCCTGTCCCTTTCTCCCTCTTCACACACCTTTACTCTGAATCCCCTCAAAGCAAGAGTCTCGGTTTTGCTGCATCGCCAAGATCATTCTAACCTGTGCTGTTGTGTCTGCCTAGAGCTCTCCCCGTCGACCAGCCTTAAATCCATAATGAAAAAGAAAGACTATGGCTTCCGTGAAGGAGGTAATGGGACCAAAAAGAACCTTCAGTTTGTTGGGGTTAACGGTGGGTAAGCATCGCTCGTGAAGCCCAGACTGCCCCCCACACTGCCTATTCCTCTGTCGTCTCCGCTCTCTTTTCCTAGGGGAAAGCATCTGGTTTTCATTCTCCTTCAAGAGAATTACTCTCAACGGCCCTTTAAAACTCCATATCGGGTTTGCATGTGTTTGGCTCCTTGCCAGCTGTGGTCTGTTGGATCCTGTGCTTTTAATATGTTTTAGCTTTGGTGTCCCCGGGGCCAAGATTCCAGGAGGTTTCTGGGAGTCCGAGGGACACGTGGGCTCTTTAAGGAAGACATGTAAGCTGAACCACAACACTGAAACTAGGACAGACTCTTCATTTGCTGAAACTTTAAGTTTCAGCCTTTTAATTTTTTTCCCCTTTCTTTTACTAACGTAGGGCAACCCAAACCAACATTTTTTAGGGGGAAGAAAAACAACCAATGTCTGTTGAATTAGAACATGAACTAAACTGTATATATTTCAGAGTAAATCACTAATCTAGAATATTTTCTAAATAAGTTGTTCTATACACATTTCTGAAATGCCAACAATGTCTTAGGTGTTGGGGATAAAAATGTCAAATAAATCGTGGCCCCTTTCCTTTAGCTCACAGTGTGGGCTTGGGCAAAGATTACACAGGAAATAGAGAGATGTTGATAAGATGAATTCTAATAAAGAAGGAAGTGTAGGCTGCTATGGAAACCCAAAGGAGGAGCACCAGCCAGTGGGGGGTCTAAGAGACTACTTAGAAGTGGTAGGAACCCCTGTTTATTTGGGTCAGACAAGGAGGAAGAAGATACCAGATTCAAACAACAGTGACATTACTGTTGCACATTCTGTAAGGAAAACGTCAGAAATGATGAAATGGGGTCATAGAAGCGTTGCTATTCCCAGTCCTTCTAACGTTAGACACTGAGGAGAAGCTGTTTAGGGTTGAGCTTTCACCAGTTCATGTACAGAAAAGGAGGATCAGCCTAATCTCAAAGTGTAAAGCAGGCCCCCTTCTGCTGGCTCCTGACTTTCTTCCTTCCAACGTGCTGAGACAGGCTCATCTCAGGGGCCTTTGCATCTGCTGTCCACTCTGCTGAAAGTGCTCTCTTCCCAGACAATGCTCAGTAGCTGTCACTCCAGTGCAGTGGTTTCCAACCGTGGCTGCACCCGGGGGAGCCTTTAAAAATAGCAGTGCCCAGGTCTTCTCCCCGAAGGCTCCCGCTTAATTAGTCTGCAGTGTAGTACAGGTACTGGAAATTTTAAACACTCTCGAGAGATTCTAATGTGCAGCCAAGGTTAAAAAGTTCTGCTTGAATTAAAGTAGTCAGTCCCTCCTCCCATCACTCTAACCCCATGATTGGCAAACTGCGGCTCGAGAGCCACGTGCAGCTCTTTGGCCCCTTGAGTGTGGCTCTTCCACAAAATACCACGGTTTGGGCGAATCTATTTCAAAGAAGTGGCATTTAGAGGAAGTTTAAATTTAAAAAATTTGGCTCTCAAAAGAAATTTCAATCATTGTACAGTTGATATTTGGCTCTGTTGACAAATGAGTTTGCCGACCACTGCTCTAGCCCATTACTCTTTATTATTTTATTCAATTCTCAGTATTTACTATTTTTTTTAAATGTATTTTATTGATTTTTTTGCAGAGAGGAAGAGAGAGGGTTCGAGATTTAGAAACATTGATGAGAGAGAAACATTGGTCAGCTGCCTCCTGCATACCCCATACTGGGGATGTGCCCGCAACCCAGGTACAGGCTCTTGATTGGAGTTGAACCTGGAACCTTTCAGTCTGCAGGCCGATGCTCTATCCACTGAGCCAAACCGGTCAGGGCTCAGTATTTACTATTTGAATATATATTTTACATGTTTATTTTCTGCCTCTCCCTACTAGAATATAAGCTCAGTTAGGACAGGGACTTTGATGCACACTTAGAATGGTGCCTAGCACATAGTAGGTGCTCAGTAAATTTCTGTTGCATGGATGAATGAACAAACTTTCAGGTGAAGTTTTTATGGAAACCATGTTAATGTAGGAGCTGCTTGGTAAACATATTGCATCCCCTATTAACCACAAAAGCAAAAGGTTGTTCCAAGCACAACAGAGGAAGAAATATTTAGGGCTTAAACAAGACAGATTGTGAACACACCAAACAACAGGCTGGGTTTGCAAATACAGTAAACATAGGGGCCACCATTCAGAGAAAGGGCTTGAAGGGGTTCAGTGTAAACTGCAGTCTCCCCAGTCTCTGTGGCAGTGTCTAGAGGCCCTAAAGCCTGAAATCTTCGTCCATTGGAGGTCTCCTGCTGACTATCAGCAGAGGAATCAATACATCTCCCAGGACTTTCCTCCATGGTCTCTGGTCTGCCACTTAATAGAGTCCCATATAATTGAACATGAGGATCATAGCTGGGTGGGAGAACCCCAGGTGAAGTGGAGACCCATTCCCTCCCTTGCTATTCCAAGTGATAGTTGAAATAGGCTGCAGCTGAGAAAGGCAGATGCTGAGTTCAGGTATTCTGACTGGGAGTAGACAGCTTCCACTTCCCTGTCAGATGGAAGCTGGGCTATAATGAGGGAGGGTTTGGGGTAGACTAAGAGAAGTCTCACAGTCACCCAAAGACGTGAAAATGTGGCAGGCAATTCAGAAGACGGAGGGTTGGGGAGGGGAAATGTTTACCAAATGTTGGTTCTCCTCTGGGCAGGGCATTAGGATTCCAACAGCAAATGCTTTCGTAAGAACCTTGGGTTGCCTGACTACATCATCCGATTGCATTGGTCAAGTAGGGCATGTGCTGTGTGTTTGCTGCCAAGATCTTCATTAATGATCTTTTCTCCCCAAATGGCTTCTGGCATTAGAGTCAGAGCTCTTAACCTCACTTATCTCTGACGCCAAGGTTCCTGGGAGCCCCTTGTCCAGGTATAGAGAATGGAGGGTGTGGTTAGCAAGCTGGGAAGGGTTAGCAAAAGCCCACTAGGTCTCCTCCTTGTTGAATGGGAACCTCCCCGAAGGCTCCCGCTTAATTAGTCTGCAGTGTAGTACAGGAAGCACAGAATGTGCTTCCTGGGCAGGAAGCACAGAATGAGTCACCTCTGTCTCCTTTCCCAGCTATGAGACCACCTCCAGCGAGGAGACCAGCGGAGAGGACAGCTCCCCAGAAGACTTATCTGACAGCGAGGCTGAGAAGAAATGTGATGGCCCAGAACACAGATGGGGCAAGGATGCCCACCCAGGCTGCAAGGCAGGGCCAGCCATCTCCGAGGGCACCTGCAACACAGGCCAGGGAAAAGGGCCTGGGGAAGAACCTCTCTTTCTCAAGGCTGAGAGGTGAGTCCGATGGGTACAGATTAGGAAACGTGAACTTTTGAGGTAGGTCAGGGGTGTTTATTCATCCTTTTATTCGATCGTTTGTTCCTTTGTTTATTCACTCACCAATATTTGTTGAGTTCCTCATCTATGCCAGGTACTGTGCACTGGTTGAACTAAAAAGATGTAACTCTTGCCTTCATGGGTAGACTGTCACAGATTGAGCTCTACAGATAAAGCTGACATTGGCCTAGCACTGGGAATATGAAGGACATGCACGCTTACATAGTTGTAAAAACAACCCTTCCAGGTAGAAATGTTTACAATCTCCACTTTACAGGTGTGGACACAGAGGCTTAGTGAAGTTAAATGACACAGCTAAGCAGAGCGGGGATTCGACCAAGTCTTTTCTGATTCTTACCTTTTCTGCCTCTCCCATTGGCAACCATGATGTAACTCTTTGAAAGTGATGGGAGGTCATGTGGCATGATGAAAGAGTACTTTACAGTTGGGCTTACCTGGATTCAAATCCTACGTCTGCACAGTGTTGTTTTAGACAGGGTACTTAAGCTGTGGTCACCTCAGTTACTTCATCTGTAAAATGTAGACAACAGCAACCAGGCAGGTTTGATCTCAGGCCTGGATGAGGAAAAGTAGGCACAATGCCTACCGTAGTGCCCGCCACGTACTAGGTTCTCAATGAATAGTATTGAGAACCTAGTACATGGCGGGCACTACGGTACAGTACAAAGGGCAGTGTGCTCTGCTCACTCTCCAGAGGAGCTCAGAAGCCACGCCTCATCATCAGGACACTGTATTCGCCCCATATTTCTGAGGAATGCCCTTGTCGTGGGAAGTGGCCCAGTTTGAGCTGCTGAGAATGAAAGTCAAGCTAGAGAATAACCTTCTTTATCCACATGGAGACTGATACATATATTTTTTTTTCTTTAGATATAAACCCTCCGAAGAATTTCTTAATGCATGCCGGGCATTGAGCCAACATCTACCAGACACCGGGACCACCACTGACCAGCTCTTGGTACTCTGATTTTTCATTGTCGTGTAGAGATTCCATATTGTTTAAACAGTTAGTTCCAACTGCGTGACGTCGGTCCCTTAGCTGAGGCAGCAGCGTGAATCCCTTCCCTCTGGGTGCTCCCTCATTTGCCCAGATCTTGCCTGTTGCCTACAGTGATGGATTATGCTGGGAAAGTGAAACTGACAGATATCCCCTGGAAAGCAAGCCTGGTGCTCAGAGGCTTTTATCAAGGGTTATTAGGCATCTTACCCTGGATGTGTGTCATACAATTATTTGTGGCTTAGGCTCAAAATTGTCTTGCAAGTGGAGCAAACTGTGGGGAGAATGGAAAAGAGTGTGTGGAATAGCAATCATGGGTTCTATTCCCAGGAGCACCATCTATGAGATATTGGTTAAGCCAGCTCAACAGTCAGGGCCTCAGTTTCCCCATTAGTAAAATAAGGATGGTAGGCAGCATTTCTCCAATTACCCTCAAGCCCTAGCATTTAATTTTGTAGCCTTTACTCTTTTTCTGGAAGTGTACCTACTGGCAAGAGACCAAGAGCAAAAAACTATATCTGTTTGCTGCTTAACACCTTTATAGACCATGGAGATTTGCACATGTAACAATAGGTTCTACTTTTAATCAAAAGATACAGCTACAAGAGCAGCTGATAAGACTCAACGTGTAAACAACTTGTAAGCATTTTTCAAAGCCTGTTGTCTTCTCCTTTGCAAAACTGTAGGCGTAAAAATGATCAATTTAGCCCAACCCATTTTTGCTACTTTATCTTAGCTGATTTGGTAAATAACTGTTCCCAGATTGTGAAAACAAACAAACAAACAAACAAACAAACAAACAACAACAAGTGATGTGGATAGATTAAAATTCCTGTTACTTATTCTTGAATGAATTACAGAACTAATTTATTCCTTAGCTCTCCACTTAAATTTTATCACTATATTCCTTAATATTAGGGTCTTTTTCCCAATTCTCCTAAAGATTCCATGGGCAAAGGAGTTGTCATATAAAAAGTGTTTCACCTACAAAAGTTTCCACTATTTCTGCCTAGAAAAGTGGTTAGCAGATATGCAAGCCTGACACCATATCCATGTTAGGATCAGAGCACAAGACCCCTGCCACCCTCCCTCAGAGAGAAAGCAGGCTGTATAAGGACCTTGCTCTGTAGAGCCATGGGAGATTAGGGAGCTAGCCCCTTTTTGCACCCAATTTTGTGGACAAGACAAGGTTCAAAAGGTTATATGACTTCCAAGGTCACATAGCTGAGCCAGGGCTTACATCTGGCCACGTTCGTTTAGTGACTCCAAATCCAGTACTCTTTCCAGAATGAGTGTGGAATCATTTCTGATGCTGGCATCCCCAGAGGCAGGTAATCTAACCATGTTCCATTTTAAACACTTAGGTCATGTCACACAGAGTCGATGTCATTTGCTCTGGAATGCTCCTCTTTCGTGGTTGCAAGGAACTGAGCCCCCTGGATAGTGGGGTCCTGCCCTGAATTATTCAGCTGCTCCTCTGAAGGTCCTAGCAACACTTAAGAGCAAAGAGTCATTCCAGCACAGCTGTTTGGCTTTTGTGTTGAGCATAAGTTAGTTGTGTTGTTTGCCTTGGCTTTCAGCATGGCTCCAATCAGTAAGATGTTGTCACTTTCTGTCTGTGTCTATTGAAAACACATATGTCCTGGTCGAGTCTGGGCTAAGGTCAATATAGACTGGCTAGATGCCCTTGAAAGAGAAAGTCTTGGTTATCCTGTGCATACAGGGGCTGTGACCTAAACTTACAGTAGACTCGAGCTGTCACCCAGCAAAGTGCTTTGTTACTGGTTACTGCATTGCACTCCCATTCCTCCTTTCCACCTCACCCAGGACAGGAGCAATCGCACAGGTTCCAAGTATGTATGTTGCTGCATCCTCAACCCCACTTGCCCTGAGCCGTCCAGGAATCAGTCACATGGAGGGCTGGAGGGAGCGAGCAAATAGAAGTGGAAGCATCCAAAGCTGACTTTTCCTGGTAGAAACGAATACCGCAGTTGGAGCACCCAGGCCAGATAACCTTATGGAATTGGAATCTTTTGGTATTTCAGAGGCAAAACTTGAACACCATCAGTCAAGAGTGGTTTCGCGTCTCTAGCCGGAAGTCATCGAGTCCTGCCGTGGTGGCTGCCTACCTCCAGCCTCACGCCCCACACTTCCTAAAGCTGCTTGTCAACTTGGCTGACGGAAACGGAAACACGGCCCTTCACTACAGTGTGTCCCACTCCAACTTCTCCATCGTCAAGCTGCTGCTGGAGACAGGTCAGAAATGGTTGCATGGATGCTCTGGGTCCCTCCCTGAGGGCCAGTTCTTGTACTCTCTTCTTTCCAGAAACGGGATTATTTTTCTGAGTTCCTTCTGTTTTCTAGGAACTGGGCGAGACCATTTTGCCTTTAGCATTTCATTTATGCTTCACCACACTCTGTGATGTGGGGATTATTTTTCTCCTGTTGCAGTTGAGAACCCTGAGGCTTAGGTCACAGTGCTGGTAAATAGTAGAGTCAGGTTTTGTATTCAGCCTGTCTAACTCCAAATCTACACCACATTGCCTCTAGGAAGGCCACATGTTACCATCTTTTAAGAATTTTTAACAAAGGTCATGGCAGAGGTAAAGAGCCTGGGTGGAAAAGGTGAAGAAGTTAAGCAAAAAACAACAACAAAAACTCATAGACAGATAATAGTACGGTGATTACTAGAGGGAAATGGGGTGGGGGGAGGGGGGCAGTAGAGAAGGTAAAGGGGACATAATGGTGATGGAAAGAGATTTGACTTGGGATGGTGAACACACAATATAATATACGATGATGTATTATAGAATTGTACCACCTTAAACCTATATAATTTTATTAATCAATGTAATCCCAATAAACTCAAAAAAAACAAACAAAGGCCCTGGCTCCATTTGGCCAATTTGACTCATTTAATTCATTCATCCTTCATCAGATATACTGTATGTATGGATTACAGTGAGCTCCACACTAGCTAATACTAATAACTACACAGTAGTTAGGGGTCATTTCTACCCAACAGAACTCAGCAAACTCAGTCAAATGGGGCTTTCGTCTGTCTCTTCCTTTCAATGTCCTCAGCACTTAGGCCAGTTCCTGACTCACAGTAGATGTTGAGTGAATATATGTATTAAATGAATGAGTGGATGGATGACTCCTGGGAGCTACATTAAATTCCAGTAAACATCCAATTCTCCAAAATTCCATTAAGCAACCTTGAGGCTCTTCACCTGAATCCATAGGTGACACACGTAATAACAGCATAAAGTTCTTTCTGCCTCCCATATCATCAGAGGAAGATGAAGGCATTGAAACACATTGAGCCAGTTTTACTGGATTTCATTTCTTTGTAGTTTTACGGACACCATAATTTTAAGAGGTAGCTCAATTGAGAAAGGTACATCATAAAATAGGGGCTTTCATTATAAAATATGAGTAACAATGACACCTACTGCTTTTTGAGTGCCTCCTCATTCCAGACCGACAATCAAACCAAGACCCTTTGTGCTGATACTCTAACCACTGAGCAAACCGGCCAGGGCTCTAAGTCTTTCTTCATGAGCAGGTAGAAAGGATGTAAAGACAGGAATACCATTGTGGACAATAATAGTAGTAATAGCACTTATTAAGATTTTACTGTATGGTAGGTGTTCAAAGTACTTTAAATATATAAATTCATTTAATTCACAATAACCCTGAGACACATTCTGTTATTATCCCTGTTTTTGTGTGTGTGTGTGTGTGTTTTTAAATATATTTTATTGATTTTTTTACCAAGAGTAAGATAGAGGGATAGAGAATCACCAATCAGCTGCCTCTTGCACATCCCCTCCTGGGGATGTGACCGTAACTAAGGTACATGCCCTTGACCAGAATCGAACCCGGGACCCTTCAGTCCACAGGCTGACGCTCTATCTGCTGAGCCAAACCGGTTTCAGCTTATCCCTGTTTTATAAAGGGAATGCTAAGAAAGGGCAAGTAATCTTTGATCTCCTGAGATAGTTTTGTTCTTGTCCAAAAGAGAGACAGGCTTTTCAGATAAGCAAATGTACAGAGAAGATTTGGTTTTCCCCTTAAGTGGTGGGATTGTTTATATAACACATAACAAGCTGATAATTTTCTACTATCTCCTATGGTATTGGAATACAAATGCATAGTTCCAGGGTTCCAAAGCAGAAATTTCTTTTGAATTCTCATTTAAAATAAATGAGAATTCTCATTTCATCTTTAAAATAAGCCAATTTTTCATTGTTATAAAATGTATATTCTTAATTATTTTAATGTAAAAAGTTGTGGAGATTTCCCCCCCCCCCTATTTTTCTTTTAGAAAGAGAGTGAGAGAAGCATTGATGTGAGAGAAACACCAATCAGCTGCCTCCCACATGCACCTTGAGTGGGGATTGAGCCCACAACGTGGGCATGTGCCCTGACCAGGAATCGAACTGGTGACCTGCCACACTAGCCAGGGCTTCCCCTGTTTTTCAAGTGAGATGGTGTTCCTAAAGATTTCCCATGTTTATCCTGGGGCGTTTTTCACCCCCCCACCCTGGTACATTACACAGCATATCACTAGGCCTTGGCAAGGACATACAAACACAGCCATCAGCTTAAAAATCACACACAGACACAGAGGGAGTGACACTTAAAATGTGTGGCCAGGGGAGTGGTCGGCTTTAGAGCCATATAGACTTGAGCCCTGGTCCCACTTCACCTTTACTTTGGCAGTTTACATAGCTTCACTGACCTTCAGTGGCCTCATCTATAAAATGGGAACATGATCTGCGCTCCACCTTAGGAGATGAAGTCATGGCCATTGGCCCACTTGGCCACCTGCTCTGGCCCTTCCTTGCTGGGTATCCTCAGAAAACCTGTGAAGAAATTAGCCAGTGTTAAAGGCTGCTAAAAATAGAAAGCATCAATTCCTTCCCTGGGAAAGGATTGCTCTATTGCATTTTAACCAGCAGCATCCTGTTAACAGGCCCAGGCGTCTGGCTCCTGGCCCCTCGGGAGCTGTTCCAACGCTGTTGCTTCTCTTGCAGGCGTCTGCAATGTGGACCATCAGAACAAAGCAGGCTATACCGCCGTGATGATCACTCCCCTGGCTTCTGCGGAGACGGATGAGGACATGGCTGTCGTCTGGAAGCTCTTAAGAGAAGGAGATGTGAACATCCAAGCTACCCAGGTAGGAGAGGTGAACTGACTTCCACGTTCATAAGTGCGGGAACCTCCCAGCTTTATTCTGCCAGTGGGGTGAGAAATTCCATGTAAATCCACAAAATGTTTTTTAACCCGGGAAGGCTGGGGCTTCCAAATGGCCTGTGTCCAAAGCCTGACCATTTGGCTGCCGCAAAAGCTCCGAGACTCAGACAGGCTGGGACAGAGGTCAGGAAGCTTGTGATTTATGTCCCAGCCTAAAATTGGACCAGTTCCATCTGGATGGAAATTCTCGAGCCAAACATTCCCACAGTTAGCACCTTCGGAAGGCATGTGCCAGTGGGCCGCTCCAGGAAGCCCTGCAGGTGATCCATCTTAGTCATGAGTTGCAGAGCAGGTCAGGCGGTTGGGATGTCTCTGTCCAGCTGCTGGGCCCTCCTCCCTGAGAACACAGCGTAGGGGTTGGGTCCTAACCCAGTAGGGCTCTGAGTTAGACAAGGCTCCGAATGGGACAATGCGAACCTACCAAAGGCTATTTTCCAGCCTTCGACAAATACAAGAGCAAGCAGAGTGCGTCCAACTCTCCTTTCCCCCCCTAGAGTGATCACAGGTGGTAGATGAACTGTCAAGAACTGTGAAGGGCCTTAAGATTTTACTTTATCTTAAAGCTAGCAAGTTAGTGTGCTACACTATCATGGGTGCTGGCAAGTGGCACAAGACTCCTGTGCCAGAGGCGAAGGTCAGTGTATTACAGCAGTAGTAGCAGCCACAGCGTTAGCATTTACACCACTTCCCCGAAACAACCCAGGTCCCCATTCCCTCAGGGCCGTGGTCGGCAAACTGCAGCTCACAAGCCACACTCGGCTCTTTGGCCCTTTAAGTGTGGCTCTTCCGCAAAATACCACGGCCTGGGCGAGTCTATTTTGAAGAAGTGGCATTAGAAGAAGCTTAAGTTTAAAAAATTTGGCTCTCAAAAGAAATTTCAATCGTTGTACTGTTGCTATTTGGCCCTGTTGACTAATGAGTTTGCCTACCACTGCCTCGGGCATTGTGAGGAGGGCCAGATCCCTGTGCACAGAGTGGGTTGTGTTGCTGGAGAGGAACCCTGAGCTTAGGGAACCTGAATCTTTTTTAATTGATTTCTTACAGAGAGGAAGAGAGAGGGATAGAGAGTTAGACACATCGATGAGAGAGAATCATCCATCAGCTGCCTCTTGCACACCCCCTACTGGGGATGTGCCTGCAACCAAGGTACATGCCCTTGACCAGAATTGAACCTGGGACCTTTCAGTCTGCAGGCTAATGCTCTATCCACTGAGCCAAACCGGTTTCAGCTGGAAACCTGAATCTTTTATGCTGGCCAGGAAGCATGTGTGCCCTCTGTTCTGGAGGAGACAGTCTCTGTCTTCCAAAGCTGGTCACTGTGCAAACATCCTTAAGAAAGACAGTCTAGAACAAACGGGAAGATAGTGCCTCGCTCACAAAATGTGCATAAATCCAAGGACCCCACAGAAAATGGTCTCTCAGCAACATGTTAAAACTCCACGCCCCCACCACCGAAGTGATCACAGGCCAAAGTGATGACAAAGTCACTTCGCAGACTTTATCTCACAGCAATCCTCTTGATGGTGAGAATTAGACATGTGTAGATTATATTCTAGTTTTCACCCACTTTATCACTGCATATGAGTCGAGCTGTTTTCATTTTAATATGTTTTATATAAACGTATGAATTTTTTTTTTTCTAAATTGGCCTTCATGCAAGAGGGGATGCTTATCTATGATCAAAATCAACTCCCCCCCCTTTTTTTTTTACAGAGGAGACACTGGTGGTCAAAGAGGGTAAGGGACTCAGCCCAGGTCATGAAAGGAGGGATGGGGATTCATAGCTGCGGCTGCTACCTTCAGCTCCCCCTGGGGTTCTTACTTTGATGAGAGGTGCAGGTACCAGGTTAAGTGGAGTGAGCTGGGAGCTGGAGAATCTTGGGATAAGCTGCTTATTTCTCCTTGTACCTCCAGACCCACGCAGCACCTGACGGATAGCAGTGCTCTGTAAATGATCATTATATTAGATTGTATTGAACTGGACCAGGAAGGAGATGAAAAAAGGAAGGGGCCCTGGATCAGGTAGAGGGGCAGACATGAAGACAATCTGCATATGTCAGTTGGCTTTATAATACCACTTGCAGGGACGGGTCTGGATGGAAATCTCCTGATCTGGTTAATTCAGTAAGCAACCATTACCTCAGGGCTGAGTACAAGCAAAGCAAATGCATTCCCATGTACTGACCATTCTCTCTAACCCTTATAATGATAACAGTAGTTACTGAGCATTTGCTAAGTGCTCAGGTCTCACAGCAACCCCACGAGGCAGGTAACATTTATTGTTAATCGGTTCCATTTGACCAGACCAGTGGTCGGCAAACTCATTAATCAACAGAGCCAAATAGCAACAGTACAACAATTGAAATTTCTTTTGGGAGCCAAATTTTTTAAACTTAAACTTCTTCTAATGCCAATTCTTCAAAATAGACTCGCCCAGGCCATGGTATTTTGTGGAAGAGTCACACTCAAGGGGCCAAAGTGATGCATGTGGCTAGCAAGCCGCAGTTTGCCGACCACTGGACCAGACCATGCAGAGTCACTGATTCACACAGGCAGTAAGTGGCAGAGCCAGGACTTTTGTGATTGCCAACCTCCTTTCTTTTCTCTAAGCCCCAGCACTCTGGGCGGGATGCACAATCCATCAGTGCCAGCAGATTGGCTCTTTAATCAGTGAACACATCAGCAAACGTGTCATTGGCACCTTTACTTGTAAGACACTGTGCTCAGAGCCACGGGGATCTGAAAGAAGAGAACTCATAGTCCTTGCCTCGTTCTTGCAACCTTACAAAGTCCCGTCAGAGGGACGAGCCTGATCTGCCTGGAACCCAGGAGAACCATGAGGGCAAATACAATCAATGCCTGAGAGGACTGTGCATACACAGGAAAATCTATGAAAAATGATGGTCAATTTGTAATCAGAAAAATGTTACTTTACAATAACATACTTGCAACTTTTACCTTATTTGTTTTCTGCAAAATCCCTGATAGGTACATAGGATAGATCATTATTATATTTTTAAGAAAAGAGAAACCAAGATTCAGGGAAGACAAGTGAGGGGTAGAGCAGAACCAGAGCCATGCCCATGGATGATCATAGGGATGTAAGGAACTGTCAGTGCATTAGAAATATAGATTAGAAATAATCACAGAGCCATTTCAGATGTTGAGACAAGAGGGCTTTAGGTGCCATTAAACTGACAATCCCAGAGGCAAATTCAGAGCAGACCAAGGCTTCCTGAGGAAGTCAGGCTGGGGCAGGCAGTAAGAAGTCATGGTCCTGAAGCATCCAGTCCTCATTTATTCCATCATTAGACATGTGTCAGCACATACGAGGTGGGAGGCACTGGGGAGACAGAGATGAAAAAGACAGTCCCTGCCATAAAAACTTTCATCCCTCGAGAAAGAGATTGACAGGTTGTAATACCTAGTGATAAGTGCCATTACCTCAGGGCTGAGTACAAGCAAACCAAAAAGCAAATGCACCCCCACGCAGTGACCATTGTGAATCCCATGCCTGGGAGTTGATAGAGGGCTTTAGAGACGAGGTAGCTTTTGTCTAGTGTCTTAGAGGACCAGAAGTGTGCCAGTGGAGAAGGATGTGTCCCATACCAGGGGCAGAAGAAAATTCAAGTCATTGGTCATTTTCTGGAGGACTTATCCCTGAGCACATCCAAGCAGGAGAGGAGTCTGCCCTGTAGGGGGCAGCCTGACCCACCCCTGTGCTCTGTGTGCAGGGAGGCCAGACTGCGCTGATGCTGGGAGTCAGCCACGACAGGGAGGACATGGTCCAAGCGCTACTGAGCTGCCAGGCAGATGTCAACCTGCAGGACCATGATGGATCGTCGGCCCTCATGCTGGCCTGTCACTGTGGCAACGCTGACATGGTGCGGCTGCTCCTGGCACACCCGGCCTGTGACAGCAGCCTGACAGACAAGGTGAGACTCCTCCCAAAGTCTTCCCCTTCCTGTAAAGGGCCTTGCCAGCCAGAAGAACTTAAGGAACCAGATGGCAATAGCAAGAGACTCAACCTCAGCATTGAGCGGCTGTGGAATTTAAATGACCCACAGTAAATGCTTAGAGCCTTGGATTTGGGAAACCCCAAGCCCTAGCCTATCAAACCATCATGAGGGAATGTAACCAGGCCTGGCCTTGGCCCTGACCTGCTCTGGTCATGGCAATAACAGCATGTGAGCTTTAAGGCAGCAGCTTGGATGGGGAGCTTCTGCTGCTCATGGGGACTCCCTGAAGGCTGGATGAAGGAGCCAAGTGTACATTATGCCTACTCTCTGACAGTGATCCGCTTACAAAATAACCCACTCACCAAGCCAGCCTGCTGAAGTTGCAATGCCAGCCGCATGTTTCTTAAATAAGTTTCCTTGTAAAGTGATGACAGTGATGGTAATGATGATGGTGATGGCAATGATAATGACAACAGTGATATTAGTTCATATACATCAAGTGCTTTCTCTGTGCCAGGTACTGTACTAGCATTTACCATGGACCATCTAATTTAAATCCCTCAACTATCTTATGAGGTTCACTCAGTTGATGGTGATTGTTTGCTCACAAGGAACTGGAGGCACGGAGGGGTTAAGCAACATATCCCAGATCATACAGCAAGTGGAACCCATCTCCACCAAATTCCTAAATACAGACTCTTAGTTGCTACATCATCATCATTGTTGTCACATTGCAAGGTCCATGTTTCAGATTTCCTGCTGAATTCTCAGTAGAGTATCTGCCGCATATCAGGTGAATGAATCAACAGTTGAATGAATGATCCTCTAAACTACAGAAGTAAATCGTCAGGAAGTTCCCTCAGTCCGGCCTGTGCCCTCTCGTAGTCCAGGACCCCTGTGGGGTCCTTAGCACTGCCATGGAGGCAGAAGAGGCTCCTGCCACCACTACTGTGCTTGCCAGCCATGAGCCTGGCTTCTGGCTGAACGGCGCTCCCCCTGTGGGAGTGCACTGACCACCAGGGGGCAGCTCCTGGATTGAGCATCTGCCCCCTGGTGGCCAGTGTGCCTCATAGCGACTAGTCATTTCACCTTTCTGTTGGTTTACATATTAGCCTTTTATTATATAGGACTAGAAGCCTGATGCATGAAGATCCGTGTAAGAATGGGCCTTTCTTCCTCAGGCTGCCAGGTCTGCCTTTGCTCCAGCCAGAGCTGCCTTTCCACCTTCCCATGTTGCCCAGAGTGGCTGGAGTGGTGTGGAATGCTTGCGTTGTCACTATGGCAATGACCCGTGTCCCACTCAGTCCCAGCCACCAGGTGTCTGCTTATGCAAATAAACCCGCCATTTTGTTGGGTTAATTTGCATACCCACTCCTGATCGGCTGGTGGGCATCACGAAGGTACAATCATTTTGCATGTTACTCTTTTATTAGTGTAGAATATCAAGTTGCTGATTCCTGGAGCAGGAATTCAAGCCCAGGTCTGATTTTAGTGTCCTTAATGTTGGCACTATCATTTTATGTTTTAAACAAACCTCACTATACTTTCATAACATCTACAGTTCCAAAGGAATAAAGGTCTGGGGAGGGAAGAGAGTCGCTTCCCTCCCCAGGGACAGCACCTCTCAGTACTGTGCCATGTCTGATCTATCCTCAATTGGTCCATCAGTGAGTCAGGCTGCTTGGTCCTTGAAATCGCACACCAGAAGCCTGCGCTCCAGTTCAGTGTCTGCAGGTCCCAGGAATCCCAGCTGTGTCCCAAAGCTAGAAGCTATTTGTGGGATAATTAGAGAGCACTGACCCTCTTGAGATGCATGCGGGCACAACACAGCAGAGGGCTGCTGGAAACACGAACCTCCTGTTGTTACTAGTCAGACAAAGGATCTGCGTGAATGAGCTCCCTGCAGGGTCGCCTGGGGGAGAAGGAGCAGCCTTTCATCTGGAGCAGGCCCAGGGCCCTCTTTGGAGTGACCACTCCTGTCACTCAGGGAGGCAGGCCTGTGGGACAGGGGCATGAGCTTGGGCAGTCCCAGGTTAGCTGGGATAGTCAGGGATTAATTGAGCATCTCCTGGACACCTCTGGAGATCTGTCAGACACAGAGGTAAGGCTGTGGCTGCATTCAGAAGGTAGGGGAACAGTCACGGCGGGAAGGCTCGTTGTACTTCAAACAATTCCAGTGACTGTTAGGAGCATGGGCTTCAAACACTCTTGGGTTTGAAACTGGGTTTAGTGACTGAGTTTATGGCCCATTCACCTAACCACTCAGGGCCTCTGTATGCTCGCCTGTAAATGGGGATGATAATAGATGCTATCTAAATATGGTAATGTTGTAAAGACCCTTTCCCACATCTAGGAGGTATTCAGTTAATGCTGCATTTTTATGAATAGATGAGCAGTGAGAGCCGAAATGAAACATCACAGAGCTGGAGCCTCGGCATTTCCAGGCAGAGTCCGGAGGGAATAGGGAGCATGAAGGTCTGGAGTTAGGCAGGGAGCCCATCAGAGGGAGACCGGCTAAGCCAAGTGGTCCAAACACTTGGCTTAGACCAGTGGTTCTTACTCCGGGGCAATTTTGCCCTCCGGGGAGATTTGGCAATGTCATTTTTAAAAATACATATTTTATTGATTTTTTTACAGAGAGGAAGGGAGAGGGTTAGAGGAAACATCGATGAGAGAGAAACATTGATCAGTTGCCTCCTGCACATCCCCTCCTGGGGATGTGCCTGCAACCAAGGTACATGCCCTTGACCGGAATCGAACCTGGGACCTTTCAGTCCACAGGCCGACACTCTATCCACTGAGCCAAACCGGTTAGGTGGCAATGTCATTTTTACTGTCACAAGGGAGGGTTCTTGACATTCGGGTTATAGGAACAATGAAAAATTACAAATTATCTGGCAAATGAGTTATCAACATAGTGGTTTTCAGACACATCTAGGCTTTAGAATGTTGGAGACATGATTGAGCCCAGTCGTAAGAAGGTGGCTGCCCTCGCAGATGGTGGCCTCTGGGTCACGGTGGCCTTTCCCCTCGTCTCACTGGCGGGCGCTGCCTGTGAGAGCCCCGCTGCAGGCCGCTTTACAAGACCAGTGCTCTAACCCCTGAGCTATAGGGCCTGCATGCTGACACAGCCCCAGGGTGTCATGCATCAGGAGGTAAACTGTACATTTCCTTCCTCGGACATGCCCCCTCCTAAGAGCGGGTCCTTAAAAAATAATTAGAAATGAGAAAATGCTCTCGGCACTAAGTTTATGATGATGAAGTCTTGGAAACCACCCAAGTCTCCAACGGAAGAGAAACAGTTCAGTACATTATGGGATGTTAGGTGGCCAATCACAAAAATGATGTGCTCTGGTGACTATAAGAATGTGGGAAAATCATAGAGCATGCCATGGTAAGTTCAAAATACCAGCAGATTTAAAATTAATATACGGTGTCATTCCTCTGGTTAAACCAATAACACATTTGGACAAGAGAAAAGAGCAGAGGGAGACAAACCAAAATGCTAATTTCCATGTAGGCCTGTGTAATGGAAAAGAAACAAAGGGAGAGTTATTTTATTTTCTTCCCTCTGTTTTCCATTTTTAAAATAAAGCGTGTTAAAGGCAAGAGACACTTTATTCCCATAGACGTGGGGATTTCCCAGGCGTGAATGTTTTTTCCGTAGAGGGGGCCCGTTTCTCATGCTTCTCCTGCCATTTGAATCTCCTCCCCTCCCCTCCCAGGCCTCTGGATGCTTGGAATAGACTCTATGCCCCATGCACAGCCCTAAACCCAGCATGCCCTGGCTTTCTGGGCTGGGAAGCAGGCAGGATAAATGTGTTTCTCCTCTTTCTCCGCTGCAGGCTGGCCGAACAGCTTTATCCATCGCGCTGAAGCCGCCCGCCCATGTGGAAATCGCTGAGCTTCTGCAGGCCCACGCAGAGCAGGGCAGGTCCCTGAAGCCCTAGGGGCTGTGGAGGGACTGGCAGCCGGGAACAAAAGGCTCCTTCTCTGGACTCCTCCCTCGCCCAGGGAGAGGGCACGGGTCACAGCCAGAGGGTCGCCCCTCAAGAGAAGAAGCTATGTCAGATATGCACATACATTCCTGGGTATCATTCTGCTCATTAGGATGCTTTGTAGTTTTGCCTTAGGTCAAGCCCCCAACGCAGGCTGCAAAGCAGAGTGAAGGAGCCGGGCAGGCGGGGCGGGCACATTGGTGTCATCTAGAGTCCCTAAAGGCTCAGGCTGGAATTTTTCCTGACTCTTCCCTTTGTAGCACCGTGTAGGGAGCTGGTGGGCAGGCGCACATCAGAAACACAATACTTTTTACATGGAATTTTAAAGTGCACCGTCTCTGTGTTTTTTAACCCATCATACAGGAAGGTGTCCCCTGGAATGTGCATGTCTAGGGAGGCCGGGAGATTTACATAGTCATCCCTGCGATCGTTCTCTAGACAACCGAGGAGAATCACCTGGCAGACAGGGGAAATGGAGCGACCCCGTGTGGAGCCTTGGCTCAATTGGGGTAGACAGAGAAAGCTTCAATTCAGGCCAGACAGAAAGAAGCACACTGGTGTCAGTGCCAGACAGACAGTCCTGGCCATCTGTGGCTCCAGTTTGCTCCAAGGATGTTGGGATTAATCAGGAAATCCAGTCCAGTGAAGCACATCATGTGTATTGACGCAGAGGCAGGTATGCCAGCTCTTCTGAAAGAAACAAGTGAACCGACTGAGGATCCTCCCAGGCCGGAGACCACATTTCCTCCATTGTTATTTCTATGGCCGTGTGGGAATCCCAGCTCCTTTCCCTCATAGCTGTGTCCATGGCCGTGTGGGAATCCCAGCTCCTTCCCTCCATCACTGTATCCGTGGTTGTGTGTGAATCCCAGCTCCTTTCTCTCATACTCTTCATGAGCAAAGCACGAGCTCCATGAAGCTCAGAGGTTTCCGAGGTCCCAGACTGCATGCAGAGCCTTCCAGCCTGGGGTGTCATCTGTCTCCACTGGACAGTTCTTTCTTACACTTCCATAATCCCAGGGCCCACATGCTGTAGCTCGCCCAGGGTTATCTACAAATTGTTTTTTTTCTTAAAGTCTTAGGCACAAAATCTCCTTACATGAAAAAGAGAGACAGCAGAGTTCGGTGAGCCTCACATTGGAAACACAAACACCTCTTTGCTTGGTGCCCCTTGTGTGAGTCACCAAACCTTTTTGGGCTCCAGTTTCATTGACTTTAAAAACAAAAATTATACAACCTACCTCCTGGGGGTGTTGTGCAAGGCACAGCGGATGGAAGTTTGGGAATCCAGTTTTAATCCACAGAGACTGACTACAGAGGTTTTCCACTGGGATTCACAAGAGAGGCTCAAAGTCCCCAAGCAGGACACTGGCATATGGCGGTGTTACTCAGAGGTAGAGAGAATGGATCAAACAATAAACTAAAAATGCTATAACTGGGTTGATTTTGACCCCAAAAGCATATTTCAAGAGCAAACCCCCACATTAATAAATCTACTCCAGTGCTTCTCAAACTCTGACATGTGTGCAGATCACCCGGAGATCTTGTTAGAATGTAGGAGGTCTGGGAGGGGAAGGAGCTGAGAATCCGCATTTCTAGCCACTTCCCAGGGGGAAACCAGTGCTGCTGGGCCACACCACACTTGGAGTAGCAGGGCTCTGGCTTTTGACTGTTTCTATATTAAAATGCTGCCCCTCAATCTTTGGGTCTCAAAGTTTCTTTGCATTTCTCTGCTCTTGGTTCTTGGGAATTTGCAAAGTTTTATTTGCTATTATGGAGGTCAGTGTCCCATGTTACCAATTTAGGCTTTATTTTTTTTTCTTTTCTTTTTTTAAAATATATCTTATTGACTTTTTACAGAGAGGAAGGGAGAGAGATAGAGAGCTAGAAACGTCGATGAGAGAGAAACATCGACCAGCTGCCTCTTGCACACCCCCTACTGGGGATGTGCCTGCAACCAAGGTACATGCCCTTGACCAGAATCGAACCCAGAACCCTTCAGTCTGCAGACTGATGCTCTACCACTGAGCCAAACCAACATTGGCTTTTAGAGAGCAGACTAGGCCTTTCCCACGAAAACAGTGTCTGAGGTCATGAACCCAAACCCCGGCTACCTAGGACCATAAGCCAAGGCTCCACGGATGAACAGATTTCTCAAGTGCCTGACAGCACAGCCTCCAAGCAACATAACCAGGCTGACAGGACAGGTATTAAGCCCTCCTCATTGCCTTCATGGAGTGTGCAATCTGCTTTTGGAAGACAGGATACATGTGCCAATAGTAAGGAATATGATCAGGCAACATAGTTTATTCCACAAACTTTTTTGGTGTGCCAGTCCTAGGCTTGCATGAGAGTTATCATAGTGACACCGCTCCGACTGCCACCTCTCCATCTACTTGGGAAAACAGAACGCTGAGAAGGGAGCCCAGGATACTAGAGGGGAGTCAATAACAGGCCCAGAGCTAATCTGAAGAAGTTAAGGGAGGCTTCCTGGAACTGAAAACAAAGATTGGTGATGTCACCCAGAAAAGGAAGAGTAATAAGTGAGGTGAAGTAGAGTGTGCCAGGCAGAGAAACCAGTGCTGCAAAGGATGAACGATGGGAGAGCAGACATTTGGGGGCCTTCACTCAGTTAATAGGACAGTCATAGAGAGTTTCAGTAAGATGCTGGGATGGAAGGGGAGATTGGGAAGAGGTGAGACTCATAAAACATGGAACCAAAACACAAAGTGCCCTAAAGTTATGATAAAGCTTTGCTCTATGAAAAGCCCGGTTGGAGTGGCTCAGTGATTGAGCATTGTCTTATAAACCAGGAGGTCATGGTTCGATTCTAGGTCAGGGCACATACCTGGGTTGTGGGCTTCGATCACCAGTAAGTGAGGTGCAGGAGGCAGCATTGATGTTTCTTTCTATCTCCTTCCTTTCTCTCTCTGAAATCAATAAAAATATATTTAAAAAAAATAAAACAAAGGCAATGAAAAGCTATTGAAAACCAGATTTATGATGGAGAAATTGATTTACCTAGCTCTCATTTAAAGTAGATTTATCAGATACCCACTTCCTTCTAAATAGTGTGTTTGGGGCTGGGAATATAAGCAAGGTAGACAAGAACTAAACAGTTTAACAGGGAAGGAAGACAAGTCATCATGGAACAGCATGATGCATGTTGTGACTGGCAAGGACAAGGTACACAGGGATACATAGGAGGGACCCTCAGTCTAGTCTGAGGGCCCAGGAGGGCTTCCTGAGAATAGTTATGCTATCCGAAGGGTGCATAGACATAGGCCAGGCAAAGAGGGGCAGAGCAAGAAGCACACATAAAACCTCTAAACAAGAGGCATTGATTTGGGCATTAAAAGAACTTCAGTGTTCCGAGAAAGAAAGAAAGAAAGAAAGAAAGAAAGAAAGAAAGAAAGAAAGAAAGAAAGAAAGAAAGAAAGAAAGAAAGAAAGAAGATAGGAAGGAAGAAAGATTGCAAGATGAGGCCAGGAAGAAGGCCACTGCACTAAGTTTGGATTTGAAGGAAATAGGAACACAGGAAGCAACACTCAGATTTGCATTTTAAAAAGAGTACTCCATGGGGACTCAGGGTGGGGGTGGGGGGTGGGAATGAGTGATGCTTATTCAACAAACATTTGTGGACTATCTGTCCTGGGCCTGGACTCTAGAGTTCATGGTTTGGTGGAAGAAACAGATGCTGGCTGACGACTGTGAACAGGATGAGTAATGGAGGTCTGAAAAGGGCTGTGGAGACGTATTTGGCCAGAGGGAGTCAGGGAAACCTCACAAAGGAGGTGGCCCTTGCTCTAAGCCTCAGGAGGTGGAGGAAGGAGTTTGCCAGGGCATTCTAGATAGAACAGCAGGTATAAAGATGTGAAGTCTGAAGACCATTGATGTCTGGGTAATGGAGAGAATTGCAGAAAGACTCCAGTTTAGATGGCATGGGGAAAGTGGGTGAAGAGTAGATTTAAGAGGAAAGTTAGTAGATATACTTGTAGGTTGAGATAGGAATTTGGACTTACGCCTCTAACTTGAGGAGGCATCAGAGACCTCTTTGAGAGCCTGAAGCTCTGTTCAGAAAAACTCACATAAATCTGCAAAATCTGCATGTAATTTCAGGAATTCAGTAATCTGCAGTTAAAATCTCACTGCTGTGGTCAGCGGGGAGCCATTGAAGAATTTCTAAATGATGGAGCCAAATCAGATTTGCCCTTTAGAGTGTTCACAGAAGGGGGCTGGGGAGAGACACTGGAGGCAGGGCATCAGTGAGTTGGTTGTCCTCAGACCCTGGGTATAGGGCAGTAAGGGCCCAGTCCTCGATGGCACCTGTGGGGAAGAAGGAGAGGGCCTAGGGAGGTGTGCCAGGAGGCGATGACACACTAGATGGTGGAGAGGGTCAACGCGAGTGACAGGAAAATGGTGATAACATTGTCCCCAATATCCATTCTTCCTTTTCTCCTTAGAAATAGAATCCCCAAATTTCAGCTGGAGACACAGCCACCCAAAATAGAGACTCCATCACCCAGCTGCCCTTGAAGCTTCATGTGGCCACATAACCAAGTTCTGGCTGATGAGGTGTGAGGGAAGTGATATAGGCAAAGTCCAACTCCTGTGTGCAAAGGAAAGGGAAATGCTTTGCCCCTTCCCACTGGCTGGAATGTGGTAACAATCCATCTTGATCCATGAGGAGGAGGCCAACACCCCAGGGATCACACAACAACAGGGCAGAAAGAGGTAGGCCCCAACACCATAGACCCATTAAATCTGCTCTGGACTGCTTATTCCCCTTTGATATGTAATCCTATATAATAAAGAGATAACATGCTAATTAGACTGGACCGCGGAATGACCTTCCGGAACAATCTTCCAGAAAGACCAGTGGGTGGGGAGATGGATCCTCGGAGCTGCGAGGGCCAAGGCAGCTGGGGCTGCAAGGGCTGAGCCCCTTACCC